AAGGCAGACAATTACTATAAACATCTGTAGTCAAAGTTCTCTGACAGTCTTGCATGTCAGTGTTACAAAGTCCTTGAAGTGTCCGGTGTACATTATTGGGTATCTCCAGATGACCAGATATTCCTGGAAGCTGCAAAATTTCTTGCCCTACCTTATCTCCCTTCCTGTGCTTGCCATGACAACTTTTGTACTGAGCTGAGTTCCCTGCTAAGAACTGAGCTTTCTGCAGACAGCAGTGCTCTGGTAGCAAGCAAGGTGGGAGCTGGAGGAGTCAGGTCCAAGTTGATCCTTACCTACTCATCTGTGGATCGGCATATAAGTTTCCAAGGTTAGCTGTTATAAGTTGTGCTGCTGTAAACATGGATGTGCAGTAGATTCACGTGTGATGACATGGTTACTACACAGCCTTACTCAGTGGGGAGGGAGCTCGAGGGTGGTCCTGGTGTTCACTGTTCCATTTTACTGTGGAGAAAACTCTACTTAATACCCTTGAAACCACAGAAACATGCTTCTCTGAGCCTCAGGAGGAAAAAAAGATTCCTCCTTCCACAGGCTGGAAGTAGCAGGTGCAGGAAAATGTGACTTCACTTTGGAACAATGCAGTGGAGGTAAGGTTGAAACACACTGGACCCAGTGACCAACCAACATCTCTCAGGTAATACACATCTCTCAGTGAGATCTAGACTTGGGATGTTCACAGGTGGAGTCAAACACTTGCTTCCCACTTTATCATCTGCTTGAAGGGCTAATGAGCCCTGAGAACTAACATGCTGCTCTGATACTATAGGTATGATTAGAATATGGATGTATTTACTGTTAGGTAAATGCATTGATCCAGTGAAGAACATAGAAGCCTGAATTTGGGATTCAGAATGAGATTTTCCCAGAATGATTAGGATCCCAGGCTGGGAGAGAGAACCTGCAGGAACAAATTAACATCTTACCTAAGGAAATGGAAGACATTTGCACTTCTTGTTTTCTCCTAGGAAAATCAAGTGTTTGCAAAAAACAATGACAGCAGAAGCCACCCTCTAAACTATGCTAGGTCAGACATATCAGTAGCAGTGATTGCATCAGAGAACAAGAGGAGATATTTGTTTCACTTCCTTGTGGGGTGGGAGCACAGTGTAAGTCTTTGCAGTGCCATCCCACGTGCCACAGTAATAGTCAGCCTCATCCCCAGGCTGGACCCCAGAGATATGTAGAGTAACTGTGTTAGCTGAGGCATCTTTGGATCCAGAGAAGCGGTGAGGGGCCAAGGAGTCCTCATACCCATCAGTGTGTGTGGTGGTGGTGCAGCAAATACCGGGGAGGACTCTCTGGCTTATGCTGTATCCAGAATACGATATGGTTGTTCACATGGAAGCCACTGCTCAAGGTGCAGCTGAGTCTGGCTGACACTCCTTGAGACACTGAGAGGGAGAGTGGCTGGGTCAGAGGGAGAGAACCTGAAGGAATAAATGCACATGGACCACAGATTAGGGGTCAAGTTTTTCAGAAGGCCAAGCCATAAAAGACAGACTCAAGCCTCAGGCAACCCGATAGCTAAGAGGTGTGTCCCTACCTGTGCAGTGGGACAGGAGAAGGAGAAGCAGAAGACTCCAAGTCATGGTGGACACCGTTCAGTTCAACAGTGAGGCTGGGTTGACCTGGGACTCCTTTTCTTTCTCACCTTGCCAGAAGAGGGTTTGTTCATGCAAATGTGTTTTCATAAGACCTGCCTCAGCTCCTCCCTGAGTGGCCCAAAAGTGGTCTCAAAATGATGTCAAACTAGTTTAAATAGTGAAGAAGTTTGAAGAGAGCACAGCTGATATGCAACCAATGTTCCCAACACATCTAATGGTTAAGAGCTTCTGTGATACTGTTCAGTGATTTAAAACGACTCAACAGAATATATAAAAATTATTCTCTCCTTACTTCCTTTGTTATCTTGTTTTCTTATAACTTGAAATATTGCTTTGATCTTCTGACAGTGTAGGGTTTTTCTGAAGGAATAAAATTAAGTCATGTGCAAATTAAGCTTATCTTGTTTCATATCCCTGTCTTGTAGACTCTTGATCTTGTGTCTTAGTACTTTCTGATCTTTCTGATCACTGAGACACAAATCCAACACCCACAACACTAAGGAGGAAAGGTTTATTTTTGACTCAGTTTGTAGAGGTTTTAGTCTATAATTGGCTGGCTCTAAAGCAAAACAAGATTACAGGAAGGCATGACAGAGGAGAAACAGTTCATGTTATGGTGACAAGAAGCAGAGAGAGAGATCAAGGAAGAAGGTAGGCAGATATATCCTATCAGGCCAGGCCTCCAGTGACCCACATCTTCTGACCAGGTTTCACCCCCCAACATCACATTCAGTAATAAAAGCATCAGTGGACTAACCCACTGATAAGTATCATTCTCCTGTGATCCAATTACTTCCCAAAAGCCCACCTAGGAGCCCATGAGTCTTTGGGTGGACACCTTGATATAAAACATAACTTTCTACCTCTAGTCCCCAAAAGATTCATGTGTATACATTTATTTAAAATGTAATTGCTCCATCTGTAAGAGATGTTAGTTTTAGCATTTCTGAAAAGTTCAAATTCAGAACTGTCTCTGAGATTTAAAGGAAACTCTTACCTGTGAGCCCCCATAAAAACCAAAAAGAAATTTAAACACATTCAAAAATCAGGAGATAAACTTAAAGGGAAAAATAGAAAGGAATAAGACAAGTAAGACTAAAATCCAGGGGAGCAAATGCTAAATCTTGTAGTGGTATGTCTGGCATCAGAGGTAAGCTGTGGCAAGGAGATATGAATTCCATATTCATAGTTCCATGTTTGCATGGGCCCACCCCTATGGCACTGCCAGTGGTTATGGTTCTCATGGCTTTCTCTCAGGCTTGTTTTGTTCACTCCTTGCAGCTTTCCTCAGACAGTGAATCTTCTGAGCTTCTCCAACTTCCTGGTGTCTCTACTGCACGTTTAGTTTCACTCTCACAGTTTCATGCACTGCCCTTTCAATAACAACTGCCTGGGCCCCAAGACCATCTTCTTAAATCTGGATGGATGACTCCTTGTACTAACATTACTGGCATTCTGCATGCTTACAAAACCAGCACTGTGTGGGTGATGCCAAGGTCTGCTGCCAGCTGGTGAAGTAACCAGGCTTCCTTCCATCATGGCTGTGAAGGTTTCTAGGTCCAGAGACCTAGGTCTCCACGTGGTTGAGTCCTATGAACTGAATCCTGAGAGAAAAATTCCCTAGGCAGGAGCCATTCTGGATCACGTGCTCCAGGGCTGTCTTCTCAGAGTAAAATCTTTCACTTTTACAATTCTGAGCCCAAGAAGACTGGACCTTACTGGTTCTTCACATACCTCGAAGTGATCATCCTATTGTGTGATAAAGTACTTGTCTTTTTTAATGCTAAGTTTTCAGCCTCCAACTTCTATTCTGCTCTATCTTCTCATGTCTTAAAGTTATTGGAGCTTCCTTTCTGGCTAAATTCAAATCTAAATTATTCATCTGGGATAGTGCTTTTGATTCTTAATGTAGAACTTGCTAGAATTACCCCCCACCTATAGTATCCAAGTCACAGCCTGAATGTTTGGCTGTCTTAGAATTTCCTCTGCCAGATTAATTCATCTGCTTCCCTTAATCTCTGTATCCATTAAAGGCTCAAGATATGAGCAATTGTAGTCAAATTCATTGCCAAAATAAACACACATAATTGATTGTCCAACTACCAATGAAGTTCTTGTTCCCAGCTGAAAATTTCTAAGCCTGGAATTTTCCACCTTCATTTCTATCAGCATTCTGATCTTCTGAGCTTTGACCAGAATCTTCCATCACACCCCACTTCAAGTCTTCTAGGGCTGTTTATCCAGCTAGCAATTCCATACATTTCCCAACTCCTCCCTCAAACTAGTTCCAAAGACTTCTGAGAGAATCAGACAGTCACAGCAGTGATATTCACAGTAACAAAATCTGTTCACTGAGACACAAAACTTGCCATCCACAACTCTAAATGAGAAATGGTTTATTTTGAATCACCGTTTGCAGAAGCTTCAATCCATACCTGGATGGCTCCAAGGTAGAGAGGAATGGTAGAGGAGAAAGAGCTCATGGCTTGGTAGTAGGAAGCAAAGAGAGATCCAGGGAGAGAGTTGCACCATTCCAGCCCATGCTCTCAGTAACCTACCTCCTCTGACCAGGCCCCACTTCCTAACATCACATTTAGCTATAAACATATCAGTGGACTGATCCAGTGGTGAGTAACATGCCTTCATGATCCAATCATCTCAAAGCATTAGGTCTGAACACATAAGGCTTTGGTGGGCCATGTAGATATAAACTATAGCAACCTGCATCATTCAGCACCTTACAATCCAGAACTCTCAGGACACACTGTGGCATTCTGGGAAATCTGCAGTGAAATATTCAGTGCTAGATCCACAAATGAAGGTGACTGTCCCTCCCGGAGTCATGGAGAGTGAAGATTGTGGAGTCACCACAGCCTGTAGGAAGAAGGGGCCAGGGCTTTCCTTCCTTTGTGGCTTGAGTTTCCCTCAACACACAAAAGAGGGTTAACATTGGTAATTGTGACTAGAATACAATGGAAGAATTTTCAGTGGCTGAAGTACTTGTGGTAGTATACTTACATAAACCCCATATTTTCAATTTTTTATAATTTTAGATTGTTTTACATTTCTCTATTTATGAGGACAGAATTTTTACTTGTTTCAATCATTTCCTCTAATATTCACTTTGAAGTGGTGTGTGTCTGTTTGTGTATGGGTATGTCTGTGTATATATGTGTGTGTATATTTTTTGCCTCCTCTGTCCACTACTATGTAATGGATGACAAATCTTAAAGAAAATCTTTAGTGAAAACAGTTATCATAAAATGATGTTCTTAATAAATATTTTAGAGTGTTGGTTAATAGATTAGATTACCTTCTCTGGGGCCATGGGGAGTAAGAAAACTAAGCCCACACTGGCTAGATGGAGTCTTGTTGTCAAACACAGATATTAGGAGCACAATATGAGGCTGAGCAATGTTCACTTGTCTCACTTCCCCGTCTGCATGTGTCACTGTGGAAATGGTTGCTGTACCACAGAACACAGTAATAGGTGGCCTCATCTTCAGGCTGGGCCCCTGTGATGGTGAGAGATGCTTTGTTTCCAAGGAGAGAGCCTGTGAATCTGGCAGCAACTCCTGGGACCTGATTGCTGGTATCACGTATTAGACCCTGGAGTATTTGGTAAGGATTCTGTTGGACCCATTTAGCATAGTTACTGGTTGTGACAGCCCCAGTGCTAAATCCACAAGTGAGGGTGACTGTCCCTCCAGGAGTCACAGAGAGTGAAGATTCCTGAGTCACCACAGCCTGAGATGAGGCCTCTGAAAACAATGAGACAGTGTGTGGTTAGGAGAGCAGACTGAGACATGTTACTCATTGCTGCCTTTCCCACTTCCAGCCCGGAAAATCCCTGCTGACCTGTGATGTGAGCCAAAAGTGTGAGCAGGAGAGGAGCCCAGTCCATGGTGCAGACACCTAGGGCTGTGCTTTTCAAGACTGCTCCACTACACAAGCAGCACCACAACTCTCATTATAACTCTTAACACCTAGTTAAGGGTGGGGTTTTCATGCAAATAAACTTCCTTTCCACCGAAAACCAGCTGGCCAGACAATAGCTATTGAATTCTCACGCATTACTGATCATCTATTAATGGGACCCAGCACCTGTAGGACCATTTCTCAGCTGGTCTTCTCTTTCAGGGCCTGATACACAATGCCATCTAGTGTCTATAGTGAGACTGTCACTTCTAGGAAGAGGCATTCTTGTTATCCACTCTCTTCCCATCTCCTTATCAAGTCTGAAGTTTTTAGTTCTAGCACTAGCTTGAAATTCCTGGCTGGAAGATACCAGATGGTGAATTGGGAAAAGGAATTCAGGGAAGTGGAGGCCTGGATGCATCACTGCCTGTCTTCCTCCTTTACTTCAGTATACATAGAGCAGCTATATCTGCTGAGTATAAAAGCTAGTACTTGGGGCCTTCTGACTTCTTAATTTACATTCCCCAGAAGCATATCTAATACTGTACATATATCAACACCTGATCTATTGATTATTTCCAGATCATATGTTTAATCTCTAATGGTGACAAGGATGATTCTACAATTTACTGTTTAAGGCAACCTGTTTCCATAGCACTCCAGAATTTTAAGGAGCTATATTACAAGTTTCCTATGAATTCTTTCCAAGGACTTTACGTTTTCTCTGGACAGTCATTTGTACTAGGGAAGCATCTGAAAAGTAATCTGACTCCATTGACAAGAATACTTACATCATAGCGTGTGCTGGGTATGCTCTAAATTCTCTCACACCAGGTGTATTTTAGTCACTCAAAGAAGTGTTAAGAGTGTTGTGAGTCTGCTTGGGAATGAAGATTGTGAGAATATTACTCTGAAAGGAGTAGTCAGCTAATTCACAAACTGTAGGATCCTCAGAAGAGTGGTAGGTTCACTGATAAGATTAACTTCTTATACTTCCTAAATTTGCCTCCAATTCTCTGGATCTCTGTGTATTACTAAGGATTATGATAGATGTTCCATTGTAATATGTGTCATTATCTTTTTTACAAAACTAGATTTAAGCTGCACTTATAATTAAACCCATTGACCTGCATACTCAGACTACCACTACTTTTTTTTTTAACATACTCTCTCATTAACTATCCCAAAATAAACTCAAACATGTAGTCCTACTGCCTTAGCCTCCAGAGAAGCTGGGATTATAGGCATGTTCACCATGCCATATAGAACAACACTTACATTACATAGTTGCCCATTCTCATTGTATATGTATAGTATTAGATATTAAGTACTGCCTATTAATAGTATGGAAAAGCATCCATTTTTAAGATTACTGACTCAATACAAATGCAACTGAGGCACCGTTTATCTTGCAACATCAAAGACCACAGTTTCAGTTGGTTATTATTTGTATTTACAGTATTTCACCTTGATTTGTGAGGTGCCTCCTGGTTTATGTTATAAATAAGAAAACTGCACTATTCTAAGCAGTCATATTTTCTTTGAGTTCTGTTCATTAGATGCGAATTTTGAAACCTCAATTGTTCATGAACATATCTCAATTTGTGCTGAATGAACTCCATGTGTAATTTGTCTAGAATCCCTGAACTTATGGCTAGTGTCACGAGTAGAAAGCTGTCTCTAATGAAGGATTGTCCTTTTCACTTATAAAATATGAGAGAGAATTGGGTGAGGGGAGGAGAGGGTAGGGAAGGAGGAGAAGGGAGAAAAGGAGGAGAAGGGAAGGAGAGAGAAAAGACGAAAGGAGAGGAGAGGATGTTAAAATATGTGATTCTGTGAATGAAAGTCAAGCTCTGGAGTATCTAGCAAAATGTTCAATACCTATGCCTATGTAGAAAACTCACAATGTTAAGTAAGAACAAAAGAGACACAAGACAGGTCAAGTATTATACTGTAAATGCACTGTGAACAGCTCTATCAAGTGTAATTAAAATCCCATCAAAACCTTGGTGAGTGGGAAGAACCACACGTGTCCTTGTATAAACTCCAATGTATCAAACACTCATGAGAAAATATTGGCACCCAGAACATGTAATTGAATATACAAATTACCTGGGAAGGAAGAATTTCTCAAGCAGGCTCATTTAAATGAGTCAGTTAAATGAAAGGGATCTGAGCACAGGACAGATCAGCCTGGATGTCGGGAACTACAAATTCACAATGGTTAATTCTGTGTCCTTCCTTAAGGGATGATAAAGTGGAGGCTTGGCGTTATCAATACTACCCATTTAAGATTTCTCATTGACTCTGCTTAGCATAAGATCATCTATGCCCTCTTGAGTCACCCCAGGATTATATTCCACGTCAAGAGCCTTCTTAGCATATGATCACCATTTTGAGTCAGTTTTCTGCTGCACAGGAATTTTTCTGTAGCCTTGCCTAACACAATATGTACCCAATAAATAGTGAGTATTTAAGATTATAATGAGAGGACCCATCAGGAGACACTGACTTTCCAGCAATCATGTGTTACTAAACTTGTCTCTGTTTTACATTTTTCTTGCCATACCTTCAATACACAGTCAGGACACTATTACGGGGTTCTGATACCTGGAGGATTTTGTCTCACTTCCCCTCTCTCTCTGTGTTACTGTGTATAAAACACTGCTATTGACAGCCCCACAGTGATAGACATTCTCATTCTCTTCTTGGACGTTCTAGATGTCAGGCACTGACCCAAATCAGAGCCTGATCCTGAGAATGCATCAGGGATTGCATTCCCCTTGGATCCCACAGTACTGCTAGTACCCACTCGCATCACAAACCAAGGGCCTTTTCCCTGGTTCTTTTCTACCAGTACACACAGTAACTATTGTAACCACTGCTCAGGGTGCAGGTGAATTTGACTCTCTGTCCCAGCGGGGCAGATCCAGAGGGCAACTGAGTCAGCCCAGGTTGGGAGAGGAACCCCGGAAACGTAGATCTCCATTAGAAATCCCATTGGAAGAAAAGAAAGGAGTTGTAGAGAAAGAAAGTGTCTGGGCTTTGGTTATGGGCAATAGTGGTCACTATGGAGGCAGAGAGCCTTGCCCATATCTGACCTGTGAATAGACTAAAGATGGGGAGGAGCAAAGGAGTTAAAGCCATGGTGAAAGAGAAACCCAAGTGCTGAGCTGTTCAGTCCCCTCGCCGAGCCAGAGCTCCCAGGCGTCTTATTCCCTCTGCTTAGTACTGAGGCAGGGCTCACTATCTCATTCATGCAAGCCTTCCTACTACCAAGGCCAGTACTGACAAGGTAAGATGGCAGGGGTCATTGGGAGCAAGACATAAAACTGAGATTTGTTTTGTTTCTCATATTTCATTCTTTCTTCCTGGTTCCTAGACATTAATTTCCATCCTCAGGACTCAGAGACACTTAGCTGAGTCACAGATTTTGTATGGAGCCCAGGTACGTGTCCTTCAAATTCCTCAAGACCAACTTCCCATGTTCTCCAGTTACTCTGCCTCTCTGGTATCCCACAGTGGGGTATAGCAGCTACTCCTGGAAACTACTCATGGCTCCTGTTCAAATTTCATTCCAGAATGTTACAAGCTTTCTACTGTTACCCAACAATGCCATTGATGTAATTTATGTCAGGTCACTACATATTCCTGACCCAGGGGAGGAAATAAAAACAGAAAATCCAACCTCTTTCCCGTGGATATTTGGTTCTACACAGGAGATGCCTTGCCCACAATTATCAGCTGATGCTGAGAATTTCCAAGGAACTTTTGACTGCTTCATCCATGGGAAGCAAAGAGGTTTACCACAGTTTTTTTTTTTTTTTTACTTGTTTGTTTGTATCGGGAATCAAACTCACAACCTCGAAGTGCCAGGCAGGCACCCATGAGCTAAATCCCCAGCCCTTGTGTTTTAATTCATAACTATAGTGGTAAAAATTGGACCTGAGAAGCAACTATGTGAAGATGAAATCATTTAAGAAGTAGCTTACTTCTTTTTAGCTGTATGATTCAAACTTCAGTTTTCCTTCTTGAGGTCCTTTTATATTAAAAAAAAGTCACTGAAATGAACCTATTTCTTTACACAGCTTCTGGCTGATGCAAAACTTCCATTCAGGAAATTCCCACTGGGAATCAGCACTTCCAGAGTTTAATATCATGGCTGAAATCTCTTGTCTTTCAGAACTCTATCTCTACTCATTTTGATTATGCCAGTAAGTGTCTGATGTTCGAGAAGAATCATGTAGTTTTAACTATAAATACCAATTATAATTTGCAACATGATAAGCATATAAATTAATTTACTACCCAGAAGGAGATTTTCTAGGAATTCATGCTGACTCCCTGATTCAAGCCTAGGTGAACAACTGGTCCCCTTGCCATTCCCTTATTCCTGGTGCAAAAAGTTCAGAAACTACAGGGTTAAACCTATTTATTTTAATACCAGGCTGAGGAATAAAGTGAAAGGTTTCTTCACTATGAGTCATACTCTCTATCAACTCAGTCTGTATTTCTCAGTGCAGGGCAAAAGGTTGTGGGTTAATTGCTAATCTAATTTGATTAGAAATATTTACAAGGGGGCTGGGGGTTTAGCTCAGCGGCATAAGCACCTGTCTTCCAAGCAGGCGGTCGTGAGTTCGATCCCCGGTACCGATAAAAATGAAAAAGACAAAAAAAATTTTTAAAAAAGAAATATTTACAAGAATGGGCTCATCAAATTTCTCAAAATCCTTCTCATGAATCCAATGAGAACTGGAATGGACCAGGGGAACTATGTGAATTTGGGGGCTGTTCTCTAAGTGAATTGTCCTGTGAAATGTCTCATCTTTTATCAATAAAGGGGAGTAAATTTTATTAAAATTAGGTTTTATTAAATAAAGTCTTGCATGACAGGCTATCCAAGAGTAATAGTGAGTTGCTTAGGGAGATGCATGAACAAGGCTGGAATCAGTGTCCATATATGTGGGTGGCATGGGGAAAGTTGAGGTCAACAGATGCTATGTTCTAAATGTTTGAGTCCTCTCAAAAATCTTATGTGAAAATTCTATCCCCAAGATGAAAACATTAGGAAATCAGACTATTTGAGATATTGACCTTCCATGAATAAGATTAATATCATAAAGAAAGAGTCTTAAAAGAGTTTGCTTGCTTTTATACAATGTATGGATACAACAGGGCTGTGCTATGTAAAGGAGATCAGGTCTTTACCAGACATTAAATTTTCCAATACTCAGATCTTAGACTTAACATCATCCACAATCATGAGAAATTTGTGTCCACTAGGTTCGTGTATTCTATGACTGCACCTAAAACAGAGTAAGGCAAAGGGAGAGGAACAGATACCATTCCTAGATAATTCAGGTCAGGCCAATCTGAATTATCTGGAGTCTCTTAAGACTGTCTTTCCTGACTCACTGTTACTAGAAGAAAATCCTTAACTCCATACTGGATGTCTGACCAAGCCAGTTGTCTCCAAAGTTTATTTTTTAAGGGTTACTCAGCACTTACATCTCTCAGGTGCCCCTTAAACTGTCTAATAGATTGGATCTTGAATTTGTCTACATTCTCTGTGCATTCTGGAATTAGTAAACTACAAGCAAGTGTAATAGATCATTTTAGCGATAAAGAATAGAATTGGTTACTAAGTAGAGAATGATTCCGATGCTTAGGATGACTGTGCTCAACTACAGATTACAGACATGGCTTCTCCTCACTGTGGAGAAAATGTTATTTCCTTTTCATCCAGAGAACATTGTTTCTGAGATTGAGCAGAGAATCACATTTTCCAGAGAGTCTGGGATTGGCCAGTTTGGGAATGGTGACTTCATTCTTGCAGCTGGTCTGTAAGAATCAGGGTACCATGGACCCAGTGCCCAAAAAAGAAACCCTTAGATTGTGTCTCTGTCTAAAGTGAAGATTCTGAGCCACATATGGGTAGTGTTAACCTCCTCATTCCACATTCACCATCTCCCTGGAAGGAAGAACTGATTTACACAGTTCTTGATATGACCTTAGAGAGAAGGTTTTAACTATGCATCTAGAAAAGGAGAATATATTTTTACAAGTACAAGTACTATAAAAAGAGATAAAACAAGTAATGATGTCAGAGGGCAAAACCCCGTGGGAGACTGGCATTCAAAAGCAGTGCCAGTTGGAGGTGACCGTGGCAACTGATGTGGACTCATGGATGAGCAGTACATGACTTAGCCTCAGCCTTGGAGGAGATATCTGAGCAGAATAAGCTTGATAAGCTGTGGGAAGAGATGGCCCTGAGCCCTCACCAGCAGAGAAGGCAGCTTTGAAAACGCTGAGGTCAGAAGTGCCTGTCTGACTTTACTTACCTGGCAAAGCACACCTGCTGCTAGTGAGGCCTCTGAGTCCAGTCTGGCTGAGGCCACTGAGGACTGTGTAGAATTTGCCCCAGGCATTAATTTCAGTGACTGATGACACAATGGTCACCAAACAGCACTCATCCCTCAATCCCATTGTAAGACTAAACAAAATTCTTGTCATGAATCTGACTACTTTACTCAAAGTGCACCTGTTGATCACTCAGCCACCATTCAAAGGTGAAGCAAGTGACTTCACAGTTGGCTGACAGCCTTCAGCTGAAGCTTAAGGTGTCAGATTAGAACTACGAACAAAGCTCAGGTTCAACTCTGCTAAGAAACAGTGTCTGTCTCACTGGAAGCAGAAAATTGTCTGGATCTCATCTGGCCATGAGATGTGTTGAATCATCAGAAAACAGGACTTTCCTAAGCAAAATCGAAAGGAAGGAAAGAATGGGATGAGAAACAGATGAACAAGTACAGGACTCCGATGAGAACATGTCAGAATGTGAAACCAGCAGTATGTATAGCAATAGTGACATTGGACTCTTGTCCAATAATATGGGATGGCAAGGAGCTGATGAACAGTGATTGGTTCTATGAAGGAAATGTGTCCTAGGAGTCACTGTTTATAATCTTGTGCCCAAATCGGCTCCTGATCACTGTGCTGAAATAGGAAGAATGGATTCTGCATGGTATAAACTTTCAGATTCCACATTCCCTTTATCTTCTTGGCAGGTTCAGAGAGGATACCACACTTGCTTGAATCATCAGGATGCCCCAAAAAGGGACAAAGAAGGCTGGTTGGGAAGGAGGTCAGTGTAAGTACTCTGGGTACTGAGAGATTAAGCCATATCATTAATGACCCCTGACATAAAGAAAAGAATGAAGCATTGCCTTCTAATTTTCTTCACATTTCTGCTTGTGCACAAGTTGAGTCCCCTCTCTCCCCTTTACTCCCTGGATGCTTCGCTGGTGCTTCTCCCCAAAGATGTTCACCAGCACACTGCTCTACCTGACAGGCAAATGTACACTGGGGACCTCAATGTTCATGTGACATCAACAGGAAATGGAAGCCAGTAGCCACAGCACCAGTGTCCAGCCCCAGTGCCGTTCACTTGGATGCAGTGGGAGAGACAACCTCAGCAGTGCAAGACCAGAAATCGAATTCTGACTGGTTGGTCTGGACCTCTGCAACAGACAAAGCCACTGACTCAGCTATGGAAATATTTTTTAAATGCTGTAGGAGAAGAACCCTGGATGCAGCCAGAGAGCTTGGGTTCCCCTCTCAACCCACCTCCCAGGAGCTGACCGCATGTGCTATCCAGTCTTGCAGATTCCCAGTCCTTTCACCTCCAGGACCAATCTAAACAAATTCTTACATGGAATTGTGTCTGTAGCAGATGAGGTCTGCTTCGATCCAGGTCTTGATTCACTCAGAGTATCATTAAGATAGATGTCCAAGTTCTCAATTTGGAACCTCAAAAGACACAATAGGAGCACAGACTTTAGGAATCTCTCTGGTGTTTCTGTGGAGGGTCTGATGGAGTCACCAGAAACTGCACTGTATTTTATCTCATCTTCGGCACTTGTGTTCTATGGAAAGAGAAACATCTCTACACACAGATAGGTGTAATGAATAAGTTGCTTTATGTCAGTGACTGTTTCAGTGATACAATCAGTCTGCTGTAGCAAATGTGCCTTAGGTTCACCACTACTGATTTAGCACATCAAACTTAAATAGTCATCAGAGTTAGTGTTATATAGTGTTACAGAGAGGTCAATAGCCTGCAGCAGAACTTCATACTCTATTATTATAATGGCTTCTTGGGGCCATGTTTTCTGGGAGTAAAACTGTCTTTTGGACATGCCTTTGTACTTGGGTTGTTTATGAGAACTTGGGTACATACAGTAGTGCCTGAATCAGATGCAACTTTGTCAAAATGAGGATTCAATGACTTCCTGGGTCTGCTGGAAAAAAGCTACAGTTTCAAAAAAAAATATGACCCACAGTGTTTGTCATTCAGTGGCCTGCTTGACAGAAGACTGTGTTTCTTGTATGACTCGAGTGTTTCTATTCTGAAATACTTGGAACGATTTGATTCCCATTTTTGTACTGTGGAAAAGGAACATTCACCCTGCACCTGGATGTTTTCTTGGACATGGGTGCAGAGGAGGATGCAGCTTCTTTCCCCAAAGTGTGCTGTTCCCTTCCGCTCTCACAAAATGTAATTCATGGAAGATTGCTCTACCATGTTCCTTTTTTTTAAACCAGGAATTGAACTCACCACCACATGCTTGCCAGGCAAGTGCTTATGCCACTGAGCTAAACTTCTGACCCTCTATCATATTCCCTTTAAACATTACCATTCCAATCAGTAGAAGCTCTAGAATTGCTTTATCAAGGAAGTGAGCAGGTGGGTGGATGTGAATCTGGTTGGAATGGGGAGTTAGAAGCAAAGTTTATGTAGTACATTATGTAAAACCAGGACCATGTCAGCCATCCACAAAAGGAATATAGTGGAGGGGGAGGGGAATGGAGAGTGTGCATGGCAGGGAGACAGTGCAGATGCCAGCCCAGCATCCTGGAATCATCCCTGTTGTCACATAGCAGTGAATATATTCACAAGGTGTCAAAACTGCCCTTCCTTACCTAGGATCTGCACCCACAGTACAGAAAATATCGTGTCTGAATGGATATAGAATAGCACTGCTGACTCACTGTGGTGATAAAGATACATTGTATTGTCATGTGCAATGTCACCTAGTCCTCACAATGGTGTTTGGCATATATAATAATATGCTGGGTGATTTAAGGAACAAATTTATGGAAGCAACACTTTTTCTTTGTGCTGAGATCTGTGGGTCATGCAGAGATTAGTCCTGTGGTAAATGGGTAGAAAATTAGTTTTCTGAGAGACTAGAATATTAAGCACAAAAATACTTTCCAACACATTTCAAGGTGCTGAACATGCATAGTTAATGAATTATTAATCAATTTATTCTGCTTGCGGCTTTTTCTGTATTAATCAATTCTAGAGTAACCTTACAATCAATTGTATTTTAAATCCTAAATACTAATTTTCTTTTTATATGGCATAGTATAAAATGTTACAAATTAAGAAATATCTGTTACATTTCAAAATAGTTTCAAAATCAGGTTATCTAATTATGTTGAAAAAAACTGAGCATGACATATTTGATGATAGTTTTTGAACACATGTGTTTGATCTACTAGGAATTAACCTGGTGTGTTCCTCAGTTTTTATTTCTGATTCTCACTTATCCCTGTTTACTGCACTAACTATCTGCATCCTGTTAGTTTCCCACAGGAGCAAAAGTCAAAACATTATCTATTTGCATGAGAAGAATTCATAAAAATTCAGTTTTACTTAGAAATAAAAAAAAGATAGAAAAACAGATAGTGACCAGAAAGACAATAAGAATTTGGTTTTAAATTAGTCTTAGTCCTAGCCAGTTCGGTTGTCATAAAACATTGCAGGGAAAACAAAGCAGACATTTTAGTCTCACTTCCCCTTCATCTCTAGCACTGTGTAAGTACCACTGTTGCTGTGATGTGTTAAACAGTAGTAGTCAGCCTCATCCTCATACTGAAGTTCAGAGATGAGCAAAATTCCTGCGTTAGCTGAGGGGTTTTTGGATCCAGTGAAGCGGCTAGGAACCCCAGAGCCCTGGTGCTGATTTGAGTCTGAGTAATATCTCAGTAGATATCGAGGATGGTTCCCTGACTTTTGCTGGTACCAGGAAATGTGGTAACCAGAAACTACAAAGCCGCTGCTCAGGGTGCAGGTAAGTACGGCACTTGCTCCAGAAGACGCGGACAGGAAGGGTGGTTGAGTGAGCACCGGCTGGGAGAAGGAACCTGCAGACAGACATAGTCATGAGTGAGCAAACGAGGACAAAGTGGAGCTTCTTCAAGACTCTGGTCAAAGCAGAGTAATCTAGGCTGGCTGCCTGATCCTCGATATATTGGTAGATTGTGCCAGTCCCTACCTGTGCAGTAACAGAGGAACAGGAGGAGAAGAGGAGTCCAACCCATCGTGCACATAGGACTAGGAGCCCCACAGTGAGACTGGGCTGCCTCAGACCTTTTCTCACTCAGGCTGTGAAGAGGTGGGGACTTCCATGCAAATTTGCTTTCATCATACCTAACTCCTCCTGAGCCCTGATGCTGGAACTTAGATCACATTGTAAACTGCAGAGGTTGAAGATTTGCTTTCCCTTTGAAGGGAGCCCTGGGTGAAGCACCTATGTGATGTGAGAAAATAAATGTCTCTGCTCAAGGAACTTTGCCAGGTTAGAAAGGCTACACTTGCTCAGTTCCTATTAGTAAACATAGAAGCCAAAGAAATGGTCCTTTTTGAGCAGCTACCCAGGAGTGAAAGGCAATCTGCACAAGGCCCCCTTCTGGTCACACAATGCATCTTTCCCTAGGGTTCAGAGGCCTGACATTCTAGTTAGCTGGTTTCTACTTTTCACCAAGTCACCATGTCTAGCCTCCCATGAATAACCTGGGGCTTCTATGCTTTCATTTTGATGCTTTTTGATTTTTACTGAGGTTAGTTTTACTAAGGAATTATAGTTCTTGGACTGTGGTGGGTATAGAATATATGTAAATAAAAATGCAATGTATTTGTTCTCCCACAAAAGACAGCATAAAGATATCATTTCCTTTATGCATAATTTAATAATAAATACGTGTTTAATGTTCCACAGTCTTTTTTATTAAGTATATATATTCCAAGCTTTGCTGAATTGATTTTTTAAAATCCACTATTAGTTATTTTAATTATTGAGGTCACTGACAACAAGTGAAGGAGGCAGAATCAGTAGGTTTCCCGGTGAGATACATTGTAATAAAATCAAGTTGCAGCTGGCACAAACATCCTCAAATACTCATTCAACAGCCTCATTCAGCCACTCCCAATGCAGATTGTGTCTGTTCTGGGTCACTTAAAATTAAAACAAATGACAGGAATGAGACTGTTCCATGGGCTTCTCCAAAGCTTTAATAATGACAACTGGCTGCGTATTGAGCTTTATAAGGAAATTCTAGACTTGTTATGAGGCTTCTTCAGTGAAGCTATTCTGTTGAATCTCATAGCTACAACAATTTGCAGTCCGCTACATTTCAATGCTAGAGTAGAGACACTTATTTTTACCCTTTATGCTTAAAAATGACAAAGAAGAAATAAGACTTACATGTATTAAACAAATGCAGGCAGCTTAACATATAGCTGAAGACAATGATTCCCACAAAGGCCAAGAAATTCCTTCATGTAATCCTTTAATTAGTATGCCTGCTAGAATTCAGTCAATAAGACTTAAGAACTACAGTACATATAAACCCACATATGAACAAGCAAAACAAAGAAACTATTCTTATCCAGAGGCTTTGTAACAAGTATCTTAGTGTGACATGGAAACTGGTATGTTTCTTTAACTGTCAAGCCAATGATTGCCCCAGACTACTCCAGGATGATTGCAATTAGTTTTGATGGTAATGTATCCTACAAATTACTTGTACCTCTTCATTTCAGTAATCAAAACATTCAGTTCTCTGTTGCAAGAATGTATCCCAGTGCTAGTCTTCAAATATATGATTGCATATTTGACCCATCTAATTCATTTTGAGAATTTTCTTTACTAATTGTTCTGGCTTATAGCTAGTTGCTACCTCCCCCACCACACACACACACACACACTCCCAGAAAGAATTTTCAGGGGTAGCTGGATCTAGGAAGTGTGAATGTAGATATGAGAGTGTGATAACTTAATTAAACACTGACAGAATTACCATAGTTGTAATTGTGGATAATGGAAAGGTTCATTCCAAATGTGGGTTGGGTGGCTACAACCAATATGCTAATAGACTGTCTGGGATAAAAACAAAAGGTAGGCTTGCTGATGCTGATGATGGGGCTGCTGCTACCGCCTCCTTCCTCCCACCCAAAGAACTGTTTATTCTCTGCCAAGCCTCTCTGTCATGCAGCCTTGCCTTCGAGCCAGTAGGCTATGGACTGAAGCCTACAAACAATGGGTTAAAATTAAAATTTCTTCCTTCTGTGTGTTGAGTATTTGGCACTAGCAGTGAGAAAGTTAAACAAGATCTAGACTGAAATTCAAGAGCAAAGGGCCCCACTGAATGATTTTAAAAGTTTTAAGTTGGGCAAAATAGAAAGCTCCAATAAAGTTAAAACATAAACATGGACATTAGAAGAATTCAGCTATCAAAAAGGCCACCAATAAAAAGTCAAGCATTTTACAACAGGACAATAAAAAAAGTGGTCTGAGGAGATTACAAGAACTAGGAGGACTCTGTTTTGTATTCAAAGGTGAAAGACTTTTCCATGTTTCAGAAAGGCAGCTTTGTATAGAATTTGTTTCTCAGGTTTGGGTTTCTACAAATCAACAATTCAGGCTCTGGACTCCTACATCCCAGAAATAATAAAGCCTGGCTACTGCTCCATCTGGAAACAAACCTTGGCATAAAACACATGGTTTTGGTTTTAGGAACATGCAGAACCCTAGAGTTGTGGAATCAGGAAGGATTCCACCTGGCTTCAAGAAGGCCTGGGAAGCTAGACAGTGTGCCTCCGAGAAGGCATTGTGTGAAGCTATGACTGTGAAGTTGAAAGTGTATAGGAGACCAAAAAATATTGGAAAAGCCAGGAATGTGGATCAATAAAGGAAAGTTGTATGGAGTGAGTTAGGTTGGCCCCAGGGAGAAGCTATGAGAGCTACAACCACAAATAGTGTCACAGAGTGGAGACACCCAAGGTTTTTCAGGTTCATGTCCTGCCACAGAATCACAAAATTTAACATCTGGATTTTGGCTATGATCCCATTCCTTTCTATCCTCCTATTTCTACCTTTTGTAATAGGATTATTCACCTTGTCTCATTGTATATTGAAAGTCTTTAACTTTCTTTTCATTTTTATAGGTGCTTTCAGCTAAGAGTTTTCCTTAAATCTCTGAGAAGATGAGTTTATCAGTAATGCTGAAACTATTAGTAACTTAGTAATTTCTAGAGATAGACTAAATCCCTCCAAAGCCTCATATGCTCATGAGTGAGACTTTTCAGATGTGACTGAATCTAACATGTGTGACTATAAATCACCCAGATGTGATAATTGGATCAATTCATTGACTATATTAACATGGTTCTGTTTGTGACTGAATGGATTTACTGAAGTCTGAAGCCATGTTTGAATGTGGGAGGCACTACAGAGGCACTACAAAGAGTCTTGTACTAAGAATGCAATTAAAGCAGAAGGAAAATTCACTACTTCCTGCTTGTTATGCCATGGACTATTTCTTCTCTGCCATGCTGTCCTGCCTGCTGCCAGATGACTATAAACTGATACCTCTACAAACTGTGAGCTAAAATAAAGTTTCCTCCTTTAACTTGCACTTACTGGGTAATTTTGCAAATCAATGAGAAAACTAACTAAAACACAATGACTCTCCTCAGCGATACACTTAGTGGTTTATGCTCAACGTTTCACAGTAAATTTGTGGGAGCCTTGAGAGTGAACCTGAAATACTGGATGAATTTTGAAAAATTCGTAAGTTTTGTCTTTTCTTGTAAACTTATCCTTTGCCTCTTTATTCCTAGTCCTGATTATTATAAACTTATATGATCTCTTCTACCAAGGTCGACAGTGGGGTTTGGGGACCTGACTCAAATATTTGTGACTTACTTACTGTTAGTGTCTGTGATAGATTTCATTATTAAATGCATGTCCATGAAGGCTGTCTCTGAGTTGGGTTTCGGTATACATTCCAAAAGCTTCTGATAAGCTGTTTTAAAATATACACGTAGAACTCTTCCCATCCAGTTTCAAAGCCCTAGAGCCATATTCTAGGGATGTGTTGCAGCTAACCACCCGAAGGTTTTGAACTCCACCCAGCCAGGCACAAGACCGTGGTGCCATACTCCTGTCACGTGTCCTCACTAGCTTTATAGCTCTGCCCAGGTTCCAGAGTAACCCATCAGGGGAACATTAGAGAAGCTTCACAAATCCAGAGGTACCAAGCCTTGCCCAGCCCAGAGCTCTAGAGCCATCCATCAGGAAGCTACCAGCCTAGCTGATGGTCTTGGAGATTTTGAGCACTGTCTATAACAGCACAAAGCTCAGATCCATAGTTTAGGGGTGTGTCCCAATTAGCTCCTTTAGTCCCAGAGGTTCTAAACTCCACCCAGCTAGGAGCAAGCATACTGCAGAGGTGCATCCGGACTAGCTGCCTGGGTCCTGGAGATTTTGAACTCCACCCAGCCAGGCACAAGGCCCTGGCACCATTATCCAGGGGTGCATCATGTGTAGCCACCTGGGTCCTAGAGATCACAAACTCTGTCCAGCCAGATGCAAGATACTGGTTCAGGAATCTGTCACAGCTAGCAGCCTGGGCCCAAAGGTTCTGAACTCCATCCTTCCAGGAACAAGGGTCTCAGTGCCATACTCTGGTGGGGAATCCCTGACAACTGCATGGAGGAACTGAGATCTTCCCAGCCAAGTATCCCAACACAAGGCATCAGGGAAATTCCCGGCAAGCCTCACAGGTCACAGAGGTACCAAGCCCTGCCCAATCCAGAGCCCCAGAGCCATCCAGTGAGCAACCAACCTACCTGATGGGTACTGAAAATTTCAAGCTCTTCCCATCAGAGCACAAATCTCTGGCACCATAGTTTGGGCATGATCCCAGCATGACCCCACATAGGCATTGGAGGTCTGAAGTTCTACATAACCCAGAATCCCAGTGCAATCCATTAGAATGGTGCTTGGATAGCTGCACAGTTACTAGAAGAAAATGACAGAATGAAAGATCAAGATGAAATCATAGTCCTCCAGCCCACCAAGCACAAAACCAGGAAACATTGAAATGGAACACATTGGAAATTGCACAACTAGACTTTCTTACGTGATAGCAACTTAAGTAAAGAAACAACTCCAGCAAATAAATAAGAAAAGAGAAACAACGCTATGAAGGATAGAGGAAATCAGATTAGAAATAATCTCTCAGGTTAAAAGAGAAATGAGAATCATGAAAGAAATATTAAGTGTAACTAAAAAAGATCTAGATTTTAAAACTAGAGCTACATAAGAAAA